TTTGATTGGTTAATTTACATAACCCTATAAGTTAATTTAATTAATAAATTTTTATACCTAATCTTTAAAAAGTTATAACTTACTGAGTTTTTAATCAATTTTAATAATTTTACTATCATTACAATCAGAAAGACCTGCTCTACAAACTTTTCTTATAAATTAATATTAGTTTACTTAATATATTTTTTATAAAATTAAATATAAAAAAATTTTACAATTGAGTTTATATATAATTTCAATATATTATCCTCTATCTTTAAACAACTTTTAAATTGTAATGCTTCTTTATTTTCACCAACTGATTATGATTTTATTATATAATATAAAAATGAAAGGCTAAGAAAAAAAGTTTTAGAGGAATTAATGCACAAGTATAATACATCAATGAAGTGTATATATCAAATTTGAAAAGGTAAAAAAGCTAATAGAATCACCTAGAATTAGCCAATAGCTAATATTTCTAATGCTAGATTAGGTTCTAAGGTTTCTATAGAAACTACCCTCTCTGTGAGCTCTTATGTAGAAGATCTTAAGAGAGAACACTCTTCTGCAAATTTTTCTCTACTTGCCTTATCATTTAAAAAAAATAGTTAGAAAAAAAAAATAGACAAAACAAGTATAGTCTCTACTGAGACAAAGTCAAAAGTGCTTTTACATAATACTATTAATAATACTAATATTATATCTAAAATAAGTTTTGAACTTAAAAAGGTATTAAAACAAATAGAGAATATTTAATAACCTATTTCTTTTCAGCAATTATTTTTATAGCACTTATTGCTCTACCAAGCCACCCTTCAGATTTTACAAAATGTTCTTCAAGCTTTACACAGTTTAAGCATTTTTTTTTAAATCCTCTTACTACTTGAATTAGAGAAATTGATAGATACTTGGGCTGAATCATGTGAACTCTCTAGGACCTGCTCTTTTTTTGGCAGAACCTTAGCTTCTGAGGCCTTGCTAAATATTGAGATAGTATAAATCTTAATATGTAACTTCATTCAGAATTAATTTTTATTTGATTAAGAATACCTTGAACTTTTTGAATCTATGTTATATCTAAATATAACATTGATTCAGGTTCACTATTATTAATATAAGCAAAATTTCTAGTAGCTGTAACAATCTTACTATTTTTGTTCTTAACATTAATTGGTATATCTGTATATCATCTTAATAATTCAGATATATGTTTGGAATTACTCTTTATAGCAAAGTCAGAAGGTTTATCAGCTTTTTATCTCAGAGCATTAATTGTTGTATCATTCACTTTACTGAATTCACTCATGCTATCTAAAAAAGAATTAGTGATTAATAGATTATTTATATTACAATGCAAGTATTGCAATGATGAAAATTACTTATTTAATTTTGATTCTTTCTTCTAAACTATATAAGACTAACACATTTTATACATTGTTAGTAAAAGTTTTGGTAATAGCTCATCATATGTTTCAGGCTGGCTGTATTCTGCTAGTATCTGTTTTTTTATTCTGGTAGAAAATGCCTAGTTCATTTATTATTTTCTTTATCATAACCATCATTATTATCTTTCTCATTATCTTAAGCTAAAGGTGTGTATTAAAACTGTGTAGATGGAAGTTGGGGATAGTAATATATAAAATTTGATTTAGCTACAGGTTTTTTGGATTGATTATTGAGCATCATCCTTCCAAATTGAAATATCATTTGACTGATTTCATCTACTTTTGATTCTATTTTATCTATTCTTATAGATTAGTTTTGTTAAGACTGAAGTCTTTTTATAAAATAACTGAATCTAATTCATTCTTAATTATTAAACCTATTTTATTTAAGAATTTAAATATATATAATTCTGAAGATCTTCTTTCAATTGCAATAATGATAGAGAACCTCTTGGCTGTCTAACTGGTTCAACAGTTTGTGGAATGATGCTTTTGCTTTTTGAGCAACTGCTTGCTAAATTATTTGTGATTAGAAATCAACTTTTTGCTTTTCTAATAAAGATTGGTATTCAGTTTTTGATATGCTAATGCTTCTTGAATCACCTTTTGTATATCATCTTTAGTAAAAGCTAGTTAAAAAGCTGAGGCAACTAGTGGTAAAGAATAGGATACTGGATTTATACTAGGTAAAGCTTGCATTTAATTGGAAATTTGATTTAATTACTCTGGGATCCTTCCACTTAAATTATTTCTATGCTCTAGTTATATATTTTTTAGCTTAATAAAAAATGCATTAATATCTGTTGGATTAGCTATTCTTATTTAAGTAAAAAAATTACCTGTTAAGTGGCTTTTAACAAATCTTATAATTTGCACATTATTGTTTGCTACTCCTAATTATAGTAGCCAAACTCTAGCTTTATAAGTATCTGAAGTATTATAAGTTTGTATTTTTTTGAGTCAAACTTTGTATATCTGATTGCTGATTTCCAAAATGTCTCCCATTGGTATTTTGTTCTTAACCAACTTTGTAAGATATTTGAAGTATTTATAACTAGATTTCCTATTGCAAAACTATTATTTGCTAGTACTGGAGTGTATTTTTCACCTATTATAGATTTTAAAATATTATACTAGACTTCATTATTAAAAACTTTTATATTTGCATTTTCAAGAACTGTTATAAGCCCTTCAAGATATGTGTAACAATACTATAATTTCTCTGTAATTTTTCTTTTTTATTATTTTTCTAAGTCTTTTCTTAATTACATACTAATTACTATAATTAATTTAGTTATATTTAGTTTATCAGTTTAT